CCCTATTGAGGATAATATCGAGAATGAACGGTGAATCTGGCCGTCGTCGTCCAATCCAGAAAATTCAGTATCGCGTTGCGTCTGAAAATGTATCGCGGATCGTATTTTTTTTCACGGCGTTTCGTACTACGAAGCGCCTCTGCTATCCGGTCATGTTTCCTAGTCAGTCGCAGCTGATAGGCGGCCGCAGATAGCGACGCTCGTGCGAAGGCACCGCTAACAGCCAGCTGAGTGGCGCCAGCCATCAGCTGTTGGTGACTCACGCGAGCGAGTCGACTGAGAGTTCGCCGCGGACGGATACACACAGTCGCATGTCGTAACACACACACACACATACACGTGCACCAATACTAACGGGCGCGTGCGCCAGAATGCGCGCATGCCGTTGTCCGTGTCGCGTCTCACGAAAGCGCTCTCCCAACACGCTTTTTCCGCCTGTCGGTGAAAATCCACGGGTGCACATGCACCTGGGCAGAAGCCCCCGAGCGAGTCGGTCGCGGTGCACCGATACCTCGTTGTCCTTCTCATTTTTCCCTCGACTTTGCCGTCTTTTTTTTTTTTTATCGTCGACGTTGGGCAATGTCGACGTGTGAGTTTATAATTGGAACTAATCGCGCGCGACCAGCGGATGTCCTCTAAAGTGTATTTATTCGCTGGCGCTCACCGATGATCATTGACAGATATAATAGTAACAAACAACACGGTCATTGTTTCGGTTTGCTATACAAGGTACCGATTTTTAAGTTTCTACTTCAAAATTTTATATATCAAGAACTTTTTTGTCATATTTTAATTGCAAAAAATCTCATACGAAATGATAACAAAATTTATTTGAAATATATTAAGATACTGCAAAAAGATGTTCTGTACCTTATAAAAATATTGTTTTTTGTTTGTTAAAAATTACTCTGCTTAATATTTTACCGAGCTGCGTATTACCGAGCTTCTTTTTTTTCAACTTTTTTTATTTTTGTTATCAAAGATAATTTGGCGGCACATGTAGTCTGAGTATCATGTAACCTTGTAAGGACTTATCTCTTGCGGGTTCGACTGTTGATTGTGGCACAAGCAACAACGGTTAATCACTGTAGCATTTATAGCTGTATTTAAATATCAAACTGTACTGCTACTTTATGAATATCAAAAATTGATTATTACTTAAAAATTACCGATAAAATTCTATCGATTAGATTGGGTTAATCAATGATTTGGTTACCATGTATCTGACTGATTATCGCAAACAATACAAAGAGAAAATAGTTTAGGATTCACTAATAAAAAAGAAGAAATTTGTGTAAAAACGAAATTTTACGTGTAAGAATTTAAATATTATCAGAAAATTATGATAAAAATATTACGAAGAATTATAATTAAAGAGCATGTTAGAAAAAATTGAAAAATCTATCAAAAGCATTAGGAAAAATTGAATATTATAAAAAAGGAAGTTATAAATGTAGCAATTAGACATTAGAGGATTTTATATATATATATATATATATATATATATATATATAATAAAGGTAACTTTCTGTAAATTCTGTGAACTCTTTCTCTGGAGATGCGTAAAAGGCATACGATTCAGGAGATAACCGAGCCGAACTATGACATACGAAGAAATAGGCAACGTAGGGTTATCTTTAGCGCGCGCGTTCTCCCTTGTATGGGTGGCAGGATTTCAGGGTGAAAAGGAAGGTAGCTCTATCCACTTCGCCGACCTACTTCGCCGCAACTGATCTGGCCGAGCGAGCGCTCTGCGGGTATCCGGCGAACGAACGAGCTGACGTCACGACAGCCAACCATCCAGCCAGCAAGCCGCCGGCGTACCAGCTGATCTAATATAACCACTCGATGAGAGAGTACGCCACGTGGATTTCTGGTTCCGTGGACCTCCACGTGCCGTTATGAATGATCGCCGATGAATGCCGCGGCCTGATTCAATCCCTCGTGTGTTACTCAGAACAATTCAGCCGTGTTTATCGCGAGGAAAGACGCTCGTACGCGAAAATGGCAATACGTATTTAAACGTAATGGAATAATGATTTATTGCAATATTAAATTGGCGGTATTGGGCTCTCATGGGCTCATTGTACGATTGGTAATTGTGACTAAAATGATGACAGCAATGTCGAAATTAATATAAAACGTACAGACGAGCTGACTTTATCAGCTATGAAATGTCACGTTATCGACGTTCCGTATCGCTTTAATTCACGAATGACGGAGTTATATTTAGCATCGTGGCAGAGAGATTGTCTTTTTTTTCCCCGAAGATATAGCAATACACAGAGCTAATACCCGACGAGAGTTAAACTGCGGAATAATGCTACGTTATAACACACTACGGCCATTGTAAAATCTTTGACGGACGATCGTGATTTGAAAGCGTTATTACATCGGCGGAATGATGTACGATTATGCCTTTGTGCGTGTGGTCGTAGTTTCGTGGTATTTGAGTGACACCTTCGAATGAGTAACTGTTAATATTTCAACCAAAGAAAATTACTGGACACAAGTGACAAGCGGTCAATAAAGCATCGTGACATTTAAAGACGCTCCTGCTATTTTTACGTATCGTTATAGTCTTTTGGTAATAAATTTTATGAACAATAAGCGTTTTTTTATATCGCTCGAAAGTTCATCAACGATATGTCTCTTAAATCACTATATCTAATGCCGACAATTCGTCACTTTTTGAAATATTTCATTTTATTAGGTTTCCACGGTCTGATTTATGGTTTAAATTAGTTTACAGTTTAAATTAATCTGATCTACAGTCTGATTAATCTAAATTTAGTTAATAACGAACACAATACGATTTGAATAAGTTACGCTATTTCTATCTCGGAGGCATCACTGGAAAATCATGAAAGAAGTGTTTTGCAGATGATCGTACTGTAAACAAGAATGATTGCGTGGATTATTTTTTGGCGACTAGCTTTCACATTCGTTCGTATTATCGACACGTGGCGTTTCGGAGCAAGGAGCAAGGTCACGGTCTTCCCTTGCTGAGTCATCCTCGTGGCGCTATACCCGCCATCTCGATCTTTCCCCTCCTTCTTAGCTCTCTTTCCCATTGCTTTTCTTACTACCGCTCGTTAACGTACAATTTTCCCAGCTGTTTGTTGTTCCCTCATTTATCGACTTCATCTACAAAGTTATTCTACAATGCTATACGGGAAATGAGCATTGCATTATTAAGGACTTTGCTAACTTATTTATAAGTTTTCCGGAGTAGACTACAGCATGTAATCATACATAACGACGCGTATATAACTTTGATGGATTCAAGGAATGAATCCCTCTTATCAATTTTAATACAAAAATGATTTTTAGATCCTCTATCTTAAAAGATATGGGGCTTATGAATTTAACGACGTTTGCAGATATTTTAATAAATAATTTTACTAGTCTTCTTTTCATATTTTCGATGTACGAATGTTAAATTCAGATAATTTAATGAATTATTGACATTAGCATGAACATTAATAAAACAAGAGAAATTATGTTTCAAGAACTACAATGAACTTAACAAAGTGATATAATATATATTTGGTTATAAGAATAAAATCTATCGTATAATTTTTTTACATTTTGCAACTAATTTTTATTGTGAAATTATTTTACATATGATATACTCTGAGATGTGTATGTGTGTGTTAAACCTGCCTATTACTTTTATCTATAATCACAATTATCTTGAACGCAAGTAAATATGAATAGAATTTGCAGATGTTTACAGCTAACAAACATTTTATGCCTGCTCTTTAACTGAAATTTACGCTTACGTGACGTTTTCACATGCGTGCTTGCAGCTGACCTTTATGATGATACTCATTCGCGATATTTGTGATAATGTACATGCGTTATTATTCCCGTATTATTTGTGCAACGATTCACGTTACTAAAGGCACGTTACGCGTGGCGTGCTGTAGATACGAAATTTAATGGGCCAGAAATATTTGCTACAACTTAAAATAAAATAAATGTATACGATTAACGTATACAGTCATAATTTCATACATTTTATTAATTCGTATAATTAATATAATCGACAAATCAGCACAATTAAGCCGCGTTAAGGGTAAAAAAATACGATGTTAGCAAATCTAAGTGGCCTATCAAATCACAGATGCCGCGCGGCCGGGCAGAGGTGTTTGCGGACGTGCGAGCGGTCGGAAGCGCGCGAGGAAGCCTTTGAAGACGCCGTCGAGAAGCGTCAACGACGTCTCGCTTCATTGACCGCGAATTCAACCGTCCCACAAGTCCCGTGGTCGTTCGCCGCGCTTCGTTCGACGAAGTAAAAAGAGCGACGGAGGAGGAAAAAAAACAGCTCCTTGCTTTCAATTTCCTTAAAAGCTCTCTCGCGCGCTACGAGACGAGACACCCGCGCGTTCGATCTCAATCGCGGCGGAAAATCCGACGAAACGCCACGCGTTACGCGTGTCAAATGCGCGTACGCATGTACCTATATCAGTATCCTCTTTCTCTCTCTTTCTGCGTCTCTATCGCTTCGCTTCGATTCGAGCTCTATCTTGTTGATAGTCGTACTGGGAATACTTTGACCGTGGGCATTTATCGTCCAACGGAAATGTCTTTTTTTTTAAATTTAAATAGCGATGAGATACGTGCAGCTGTCTGCATGCGAGGTAATTAAAATAAATTGACGTAGATATAAATATATAAAGATTTAAGAGTTCAAGGATCGCGACCTTTTAGTATTGAAAGATTTAAGCGTCAATATTTGGTATAATTAACGCGAAGCCTGAGAAACTCGGCTGAGAACGGTCAGCTGTCTCCACGAAAATTTAATTTGACTATTTGCCAAACCACACGGGCGATTTGACGATTAAAGTAAAATAATTTTAAATATTGTACACTATCACCTTTGCCACACCAATAAGACTTTACTGTCATGTATTTTTGTTGTTTAAGATGAGATATCTCATCTTCGAATTATGTAAAAACAGACCTTACTTATATGCTTTATAATTTGTCTCCAGGAACGTCGAGACGGTGGACGACGGCTCGGTGACCACGAGTGTGACGGTCGCCGAAGTCGCTGATACTCAAGAACGGCAACCGCAGCAGCGGCAACAACTGTCGCAATCAAAAGGTAACGGGTCTGGTCGGCGGGTTGCTAGTCAGAACGTTGCGTTGAGCAACGGCAACGGTATCAGCAACGTCGGCCGTGTTACGTCGCGTAGCCACATGGAGCAGGAGAAGCGAATGCGGCGAGAAATCGCCAACAGCAACGAGCGACGTCGTATGCAGAGCATCAACGCCGGTTTCCAATCACTGAGAACGTTGCTGCCGCATCACGAGGGCGAAAAGCTGTCCAAGGTAAGTCGTGAGGCTTTATATCGACCCCTGACCAGAGTCGTGCGCATTTCGTGTTATAATTTAAATGATGGAAGTCATTATTTACTCCTAAAATATTAGAAATTAAAAAATTGAATTATATAGAAGAAATTTTATTAAATAAGTGATATATTTTAAATATTTGAAATTAGCTGATTCTCATAATTTATATCATATAACAAATAGATACTTTGAGTTCCATTTTAAGTGCAGAATGTTTTAATGTATGTTTTAGTAAAGTTTCTAACTTTTTTTTAATGAGAAATTAGCGAAAACTCAATTTTTATTCTCCACGATTCTGGTTCAGGGCTGAAAGTGCGTTTTTTTTCTCTGTACGCTAGACGTTGGAATCGTACAAGAAGTCGGGTGTGCCAATACGAGAATATGCGAGGCATACTTGGCGCCGTATCATGATCAATCCTTTTTGGTTGAAATGAGAATTGTATCCATGCGAAAAGTGTTATCATTATCGCCGTATTTCCTCGTAGCTTGAATCGCTTGCTCATTCGGTATGAATCACTGCAAAAGAACTGAAGAACACTTCCTCCAATAAATTTTTCCTGTGCTGGAGGAGGAATAGTCGATCAAGCTTGAGTAATAAGATCATCCTTCCGTCCATCGCTTCGTGCTCACGTCTTTCCATGGATACATTAGAAGGAATGCACAATCATTGCATGCCTCTCGAGAGAGAGGAAGAATATTATCAAATATCGAAAAAAGGATTTATATTTTTGATTTTTCGATATCAGATATCGAAAAAAATAATTATTAATGTTTTAATTTTTATCACGTCATAAAATACGCAAGACGTTTTAGATTCATTCAAGTCGTAAGGTAAAAGTCAAACGTGAACTCTCTTAATTTTTTCGCGGCTCCGCGCAAATAGTCTAGTCGAAAATTATTGCATGAGGACCGAATCCGAATCTTAATGCACGATTGCTTATATTGTGCAAGCAGTGTCTCATCACTTAATCTCGCAAAGCATACAGTTCATTACAATGCATACAAAGCATTCTTTTCCTTTTCTTTGTTCATAATGCATCCGAAAACTTGGAAAATTCTCATTTCGCCCATGTGCAAGATGTGGCGTGCGTATACACGAGATATCTTTTATGCCGCACTCGTGCACACAAATGAAAATCGAGATGTGTACTACACCGCAAGTGTGTATCGTAAGAGTGGGTCACGCCTCTGTACTTAGTACCATCTTGCGATTTTGACTGTTTTCGTTCGAGCACTTCGAACTTTGAGAACTCTAGCGACGCGCTCAATCGATATGTGACTATTTCGGATCGTTGGGACGTTGTGCGAGTACTTTGAGCATCCAACATAGTCCAAGTGGAGTCGTCAGGAATAATGTTGTTTCCCGCAAGACGTTACACATCTATACTCCTTGGATAAATTCGTGACTCCAATTATCGGACACAATTGATAGAATTGTTTACTTCTTCGCCAGTAGCCCCGAGTTTCCATTACCATTAATCTTGAAATGCATTCGACTGTGAATATATATTTGTTTGTTTTCGCGCAATAATAAAAAATTAAGAGCACGGTAAATGGAATGACGAATTAATTGTCAAATGGCACAATTATTGATGTGCATTTGAGGATTAATTGATATCACCATTTTGGTATAAAATTTTATGCAAGACCATACAAGAAAAGTAACGATGTTAACGTTAAAGTAACGATGAAATATAATAATGCCGTGAAAATCTGACTGTATTCGATCGATACTGCATGATTTATTGCCTTGCAAGACATTTTTATAATTTCATTTCCTTGAAAGTGAAGGCCTCCTTCTCGATATGTAATTAGCGAACACACATAGAGAAATCGAGTCGCTCTTGTTTGGTCACATACAACTCGAAAATACCGCTGGCATGCAATTGACGCTCTCGTTAAACACACGTAAATCAGTCGTATTTTATTTTTCGCCTAATTTTGCACGTACACAGTGCTGAAAAATGAAAGAAAAAAAAAAGTATGTTTCTCTGCACCCGCCAAGTAAAGGAATCTCGGTACGTATTTGAAGAAACTTTCTAACCGTTATTTAAAAAGCGCAGACGGATCCCGCGCCTCAGAATAGCGAGTTACGGTGTGGTACCATCCGACCGGAAGAGTTTTATTGCATTAGGACCAACACGCACGATGTCGGGCCGGGTCAGGCTGACACGTGGACCGGAAACGACGACCTACCTCTCTTTGGCAAGGTGAATTCGTCAATAAAGCTCAATCGTTCCTTTTGCGTTTGCGCGTCGCGACGTTACGCAAGCCGCCGCCGGCGGCTTTTATGAATCATCGCGCGCTTCGGCTCCGGCCAATTTTACCATGTGAAAGTCGGCGTCCGATCCCACGCTATAAAACTAAATCCTCGCACAATCGGTTTGAATCGTTCGCCTAGTTGTGCCGGGAACTTAAATTATCAGCTCCGATGTCGTGTGACCGTGTCCGTTTAGTTTTTGTGCTGTCAGGACGTTGACGTCATTATACGTCAAGTATCAGCTGATCCGAACAGTCCGATCACATGATCTCGTTGGCGCTCAGGTTCGACCTATATTCTTATTTTTAAACGTAAAATGTTTGTTTGGTTTTCAATCCGAAATTATACTATTAATGTAAGATACAAATGTTAACGATATATTTAGTTTTTTAAAATACGATTTTTTTGTGATATATTTTTTGCATTCTATTTATTTATTTATTTTATAAAGTAGTATATTTTATTTTAATTTCTAAATTGCATTTTGCTACAGATAAGTTGATATTCTTACGTTAATAAATATGAAAAGAAATTCGTACGAGAAAAATAAAATTTGATATCAGACGGATACGGCTAGTGCTGTTGGGCATGAATACGGACCCTCGTAAATCTTTACCTGCGAACTTGTTCCCCACAGCTTTGTGCCACCTTTGTGAAGTAAGGTCAATCGTGGGAACGGACTACGGCGAGTATTTCACGGCACAAATAACTAAGTCGATTATACTAAAATCGCGTATTTCGACGAAAGTTCGATACATATCCGCAGGATATAACCGCAGCAATTTGAAATTTATTGTTTTTGTCTGCGAATTTTCTTTGTAAATAAATTTAAGTTTTATTTTCTTAAAAAGATATATATATTAGGATATCGATAGTTTTAAAAATAAAAGTAGGCAAAGATGAAGAGTTTTTTTTTAGCTTTTAACTGAACTTTAGAGGTTTAGACAGATGTAACAGAATCTTATTTTTTTTTACATCAAATTTGTTGTGACAGATTCGTAATTTGAGAATCTCTCAGTTAAGATATTCAGTCCTGAAAAATTGAAGCTCTAGCGAGGCAGAAATTTTAGGAGCCGCACGGTGAGATGTTGGGATAGCAGAGAGTAGACATGGAAATGAGCCACGCTAATAACATTCCGCCGGCGCGTTCAAAAATAGCACCCGACTAAAAATTGCGCAACGCCGCGCTCGGACAACGCGGTCACGCGGGGGTCAAGAGTTAATCGGGTATTTAGCGGGGAATGTGGATCGCGCGAGACGCGACGCGACGCGCGACGGGACGGGACGAGACGAGACGAGGCGCCAAACGGCGCGGTGGTGCCTCGTGAGACGATTAAAGGTAGGCATACAATGCGCATGTGTGTCAGTCGGGACAAGAACCTCGAGAGTCGCGTGACTCGTAATTGGCGGTGTGAACTAACAGCTGATCTCGCGCTGATCGCAAGTCGCAGCGCGGTGCGTAATCGAGCACGTGTCGTACGTACGTCCGTACGTACGTACATACATGCCCGTCTTTACATACGTCATATCGACTTATTTTCTTCTATCGTCTGCGTCGTTAAAACTACGGTTTCTCTCTATATTTTTCAGATGTGTAAAATTTAGGGGGAAAATGTCTTGTGTTAAATATTCCGTTAAATATTTAAAGCTCATTATTAATCCAAAGTTGAGATATATAATGCTCTCAACGTTTGCTGTTATAGATCGGCGTTATATGGCACTCTTTATTTCACTTTAGCACGCGTAGCGGAGCCTACTTCATTGTGTACGGAAGCATTATTTTAATTGCGATATAAATACGTTAGATCGCGAGCGTTGTCCGAAGCGCCATTTACTCGACGGCACGGGGCCTCGTTAGTACCAAACGACGTTACTCCATGAAAGGCGGTCTAATTATCTCGCGCGCGATTCTTTCTGAAATTCCCCGTGACCTCGAAACATAGTATGTATATATATATATATATACGTGCACCGGTTTCGTTCGCGCCGCCTCCACGTGTACCCGGTAATTCGTGTGCGTGTATTGTCTCTGTGTGTATATGTGTTTGCGCGTACTTTCGCAACGCGATATTTCGCGAGCCAGTCGGCCGACCACATGGTTCAATTCCCACGCATTTCTCTCTCGTGCCCTCCGCTCCCTTCGGTCCCGGCCTTTTTTTCGCTCTCCCCCCCCTCCTTTCCCATCCCCTCGCTCCCCCTTATCTTCATCTCGCTCGCCTTCGTCGTCGATCCTGTCCCTTCTTTCTTGGCACGGCCACGAAGGCCAAACCGGCGAATTTCGCGCGAAGCCCTGGCCCACTGAGGGAGAGACGTCTCAAAGAGCCGGCGGCCGGCTCTTTGGCAATATTAACAAGCCCACAGTCTCCAAATACGAACGCTCGATTGCTCCGTACTTCTTCTTGCTGGTTACTTCCCGTAATGGAGAAAGGCGTGACCGCGCTTTCGTCGAATTCGCTCGCGCAAACAAACCTGAAGAAAAATCGTTCGCTCTTTTTGTTCCTTCTGAGATGACTTCGCGTTTGAATCAGTTTCAACGTTTGTCTATATCATTCAACTTCTCGCTTTGGGAGATTCTGCTCTCTTTCAAATTTTCACATTCAAATTTTTTTAATTACATTTTGTTGAAATTAATTTTCTAGCATTAATCAACGACAGTCTCTGTTGAAAAATTTAATTTTGCTTTGTTTATTACACAGAAGGTATGTAAAAAATGTTTTGA